TCAAAACGCTCTTGACAAAATGGAAAGAGGCTCAGCAAAATGTAGGGTGCAAGTCCACATGGGCCAGTGCCAAGTACTGTACGTAGGTTGGGGTAATGATCCATGAAAATGCAAGATGGAAACCTGCTGGCCAGCCAGCCCCTTTACAAATAACGATCCGGGAGTACAGTGCATCAGAGGCATCGCACAGTGCTGCTGCAACAAAGGCAAATGTCCCACTGGGACATACAAAAGTCAGCAGGACACAGTAGCTCACCCTCTGCCGGGTACCAATGCCACTGCCCGCCGTGTTTTGTGAAAGGTGAGGCCTGATGGAGAGACTCCAGCGGGGTCTTGGGGACAGCCTGGGGTCTGGCTTTGCAGGACTGCAGGAACTGGGCGTGTTTAGTCTGGGGAAGAGATGGCTGTGGGGACACACGATAACTGTTTCCAAAGACATAAAAGGCTGCCACAAGCAGGAAGGGAATACATTTCTCTTACCCATGGGGATTAGAACAAAATGTTGCCAGCTCAAATTGCAGTAAGGGCAATTCAGGATAGACAGACATTCAGGGACATTTTCTAAGTGTGTGAATCTTGGAATAGGTTGTTTAGGGAGGGTAAGGACTCTCCACCACTGCAGATTTTAAAAAAATGCACTAGGAAAGCTCCTGTATAGAAACATTTTAGGGGAGTTGATCATGTGTTGGGGCAGGGTATGGCCTAAGCAGTGCCCTCAGGTTCCTCCCAGCGCTGTTCATGAGTTTCAGCAGGGTTTTTATATCTTCCCACTTCAATATAGTGAAACAGGTGTGGAAATGTTTGCCAGACGTCCCATGTCCCAGCCCTCACCACACAGGATGTGAGAGAGGATCTCCTGGGAAGGTGTGGCCCCTTTCTGCCCACTGCTCCCCATTCCCCTCCAACCATGCCCCTGCGGACTGCGGCTTGTGGCACGGGAGGTGGCACCATGCACGGCTGCTGCTGGGAAGGAAGTGCTGTATGCCAGTGAGAACTTCCCACGGGGATGAATTGGAATGAATTTGCACGGCCTCGTGCCAGTTTCCAAGCGCGTGGGCACGAGGGCTCACCACGGGGCCCCAGGAGCTATTCACAGATCTTCCTTATCCCCCAACCGACACACCCGTGTCTGAATGGCAAAACCCCCTCACGATGTTATGACCTCCAGGGGTTATTTGGTTCTCCTCATGCCTATGCTCACTTCTGCCAGCCTCTCTGCTGCCATACTTGGGGACAGATCAAAACCTCTGCTGTGCTGAAGCTGTTTCAGATTGTGCTGTCCGTCCCCCTCAGAACTGAGCATCTCTGCAAGATGCCCATCGTGGCACTTCATCTCCAGTTCCTCTTCTAAACCAGACCCTTGACACATGGCAGGAGCAGTCACACTTGTAGAGGGAAGGATGCCTCTTGATGGGCCCTCAAGGGGTACAAGCTAAGGATATTCAAGGCTTATTTATATATACAGAACACAAGGAGAACTTGCAAAGATGACATTAACAGCTCTTTCAAAATCAGGCCAGGGCTGTAAACAGGAAGTGAATCAAATCCAAGTCCCAGTTAGTTTCATCTTTCTTCAAAATTTATCTGAGAATTTTACACACCCTTATTCCTAGCTGCCAGTCACTAACATACTGTGCAAAGCAACTTAATTTTCAGTTTAAGTCTAGAGATTTCAGTCTATGAAATCTGTTTGGACATGTGTCTCTCTAATCTGGTTTTGAGGTTAACCTCCATAAATATTATCTCTGCTGTATCTAGAATGTTTGTAGGCTGCACTGACCTCTAACTCACACATCCAGATCTATGTATTACGCAAATGCTTTCCTTTTTCTCATGTCCCAAGCTTGTTAGAATCAAATTGCACCCAACTCTTCATCTGTCCTTTTACATGTTGATCAAAGCACAGAATGCTGTTTTAAAAAGGGAAATGCCATTGAGAGTAATATGTCATCTGTTGTCTCAAAAAAACCTGCTGATAAGGATCCTGGTGTGATTCAAAATGACAGGATGAAATTACAAAGAGCCCGTGTCACCTCTACCTCCAGTTCAAAGTGCAAACACTAGAGAGGAAAGAGGTTCATGTCACTGACCATCTCCTGCTGGCCTGGCTTCTGCCACGTAGGTATTCTGTAAAAGACCATGTTCAGTGTCGATAACTGATCTTGTGTGAATCATTTCCCATAGCAGTATAAAAGAACTATTTCCAAACATTGCCTTGGTTAATATTGATACATCTAACAGCCAGGAAAGCCAGAGAGAGGGTGGAGGATGGCATACAGCACAGCCAAGTGCATAAGGTGGCACACAGCAGGGCACAAAATATTATCACGGGTCCCGCCACACCATCAGCCATTAACATCTTCCTGCTCCTCACCCTAAACTGAAGTATCCATCCTTAATTTCATCCCTGTCTCTTTGATGGCTCTCACTCCCACAGGGCTCCTTGTTGCTCATGGCTGGGTTCGGCTCTCAGTTTCCCCACAAATCCTGCAGAAAGCTCCCAACGCCTGGAGACGGAACTGGGACTTTCCTCAAGGCACAGAGCGTGTTTAACTGCGACTTTCAGTGATGCCTGAGTCATTGCTTCGCCACCTGCACACATGTGGCTTTCGTGTTTCCTCGTATGCAAATGTCACCAGGCTCCAGAGGATTTGTTGGCTGTCTCATCTCACACCCTCGCTTACTACTTGCACTGCCTTCTCTGAACTACGGTTTTGTCACTGTCTAAATGGAGTGTTTAATTTAAGGGTGGTGGTGGGGCTTTTCACCTTATTTTTCACTCAGCTCTGTGCATGTAATCCCCCAGGGCATCACACTTCACTGACGGCAAACTCCTCCGTTGTGCAAGGACAGGCACAAACCTGCCTGTCCTGTTTCCTTTTCTTTATTTCTGCTTTCTAGGTCTCCTTACCCCATTACAACTTGTGGATTTGGTCTAGTTTTGTTGCTCCAGGTGTAACCACAGGAGCCTCAATAAACGTCAGTTAGTCTCTGCTAAATCCTTGCCATTGTATCACTGTCCTTGTTAGGTGTTCTTCTTAGCCTATCCCACCTGTGAATATTTTATACAGGTAGATCAATGTACAATTTACTTACCTGCTTCCAGCCCTTTGCATCACTGAACTCAGTACCCCACTGCTGGCCATATGAGGAGCGTGTGGGCCAGCAATGAATCCTGATCAAGGGCCGGCAACAGTATTTGTAAATACTGAATCCCAGAAAATGCCTCCTGCTGCTGTATGCTGAGGGTGTTCACGACATTGGCAAAATAACCCAGGGCACAAGTTCAGAAACCAGGAGGTATGCTCCAAGCCAACCCCTTCACGACTGCGAAGAGTATGTTCAACCAAAACAAATGCCTTGTGCATCTTCCCCTGGAAACGGCCTCGGAGCAGCTGAGAGGGAGCCGTGTGGGGCACCATGGCCAGGCAAGATGCGGGAAGGGCGGTGGTGGTGGCTGGGACCGCGGGCCTTGCACAGGGCCTGGGCACCACGAGGCACAGGTGTGCGGGACTCGAGGGGTGCTGGGGCAGGAGGACGGCTGCCCTCACGGCCGCTTGGAAGGCGTCTGGTCCCGGCCCCGCTCCCCAGAGAGCGCCGTGCCCGGAGAATCCCTGCAGCCATGACAGGGCGTGCGCCGGCAGCCGGCCGCGCCCCGCGAGG